TTCTTCAAAGCCGACAGACTCGTCACCTCATTGCCAGAAATGTCCACATATTGCAGGTTCATCAGATGATCCCACGATGTCAACTCCGTCAATAAGTTTTGAGACACCTTAAGTTCTCGAATGGTTGAAGGCACGCCCTCCAAATGGTTCAGCTTATTTCCCGATACATCAAGCGTAACCAGCTTGCCGCAAAACTCATCCAACATGTGAAGGCTGGCAAGACGCTTGTCATGAAGGTCAAGCTCCGTAAGATCTTCCCAAAAGGATTCATGCGGCTCTGCTTCACTGAGTCGGTCCACCAGTTCTCTTATCGTCATGGACAAAACTTTATTAGAGCCGTCCCCTGTAGCCATGTGTCGAGGACCCATGACGTAGCTGACTTCAAATCCAAAAGATTGGTCGGCATTGTTGAGAGTGAACTCCGAGAGGGGGCTTAGCGATAGCTTGCCAACATTTCGTCCGATAAATTCACTGTCTTCGGCGGTTAGAGCAAGCGCCCTGTTCCCTGGCGTCTGACTGAAGACAAAGCTCAGGCTGGCACGCCGTCCGTCCGGTGTCTTGTGGTTCATCATGCTTTGCTCCCCAATGATGCTAAGTTGGCGGTCTTCATTTGCAAGCTCAACAGTGCTCTCTTCGTCTTGCTCGTCGATACGAGATACAGGACGAGGGACAAAAGCTGGGCCACGGAGAGATGCTTGTCTCAATGGAGCGTGGCTGGGGTTTGCGCGAATATGCTGAGAGCCATTCCTCGGTTTAGCTTCCACCTGTGACGAGGATCTGTGCGGTGACCTATGAGTCGATGCTTCAGCGTTGTTAGCCTCGTCATGGCCGCGCGATTCCTCGATACTATCCAGGTCTTCAGGAGATATGTCGCGAATCACAGATGCAATGGGTGAAGAGAACGAGATGGTAAGGTTCCGGCGTTTCGTCCAAGATTGAGCAGTGCCCTCTCTGTGGTGGCCAGCTTGGAGTTTGGTCGTAGAATCTCCTTTGCGACGGTTGGAAAGACCCTTAACTTTGTCAACTTCTTCATTCGTGAAAGCCACGGTCCGAGGACTCATATGCTGGCCGGATGACAGAGTTGCATAACCTCTACTCGCCGCTCGTCGAGGGGGACTCCTTGGTGAGCTTCGCTCCTCAGGGTTGTCTATCCCTGGCTGCTTGCCAGCAGTAGCAAGTCTAAGATTCTGCATCTCCTTTGTCATGTCAACTGAAAGATCGGGAATACTGGCGAACGGATCCTCTTCACTGTCCTCCGAGGGTAGAATCTGGCGTTCCGGCAACGACGCTGACTCCTTTCTCTTGATCCACACGTTCTTGTCTTTATCCAAACACATGCTGCCAACTCTGTCGGGAATTAAATGGGATACGCTCTCTGGCATTATTGTGCGTCTAGATTCGGATCCCCTCGAAGACGCCGATGGGTAATTTTGGCTTGTGGATCTGTTCGATGAATGTGAGGGATAATCTTGTGACGAGCTCCCCTGCTCTGCATTGGCGAGAGGATTGCTGGTGATTCGCACATTCGGCAGATCACTAATTACTTCACCCCGCACGGGGATCGGCATGATATTGGATCGCAATTGATTTCGTCCATCAATTTGTCGCTCAGGATCCTGTGATGCCGGCATGGCGTGCTTCGCGAGACCCAAAGATCTCACCGAAGATGAAATGGCATCGCCCATATCACTAAATTCCTGGTATTGTTTCAGCCGGTTCGCCAACTCTGGGTCGTCTTGACGGGGAGGCACCCAAGATCTGGGATTTCCTTCTCTGCTAGGAGGTCGGGAGAAGGGCTCGCTTGTAGAATCTTGGTAGGAATCCGCACCTGATGATAGTCGTCGATCTTCTGCCTCAATATACTCCTCAGACTCTTCAAGGCTCGCCAGCTCTGGCTGCACTTGGTTTCGAATCATAGCCATTATCTGAGCCGCTTGGTCCACAAAGTCCTGTGTGCGTATAGATGGCTTGCGGTCCGTCTCGGTCGGAGCATCACTTGGTGGAGTTGGGAGCTCGTTTACAGGGTCCCGAAGAGGTGACTTCTGGGCTTGGCCATATGACGCTGATGAACCTCTGCTAGATGTTGGACTTCGTGGCTGCAGCATAGGCCTCGAAGCTAGAATGTTGGGGTCTGCTACTTCATAGTTACCTGGCAGAGCATCCTTGCGTTTTTTACTCGACGACAGCGAATGCATCTGCAGATGGGCAGTATCACCTACTTCTTCTTTAGGTTCTCGGCCAAACGCAATATCTGAACGATGTAGCGTTCGCCTTCGTTTCGGTGTCGGGTTTTTCGATGGAGAAGTTCGCGGCCGCTTGCTCTCTGACCCGAGGTCCCGTCTGGCTGATCCAGACGTGACTGGTGCTCCATTTGGCGATGTGGGAGTCTCGCCATCTCTTACACGAGATGGCGTTTCGTTCTTGCTGCGTTTCCGCTCGATGACTAGACCAGAGTAGCCATCGGGCGAGGAATCTTGCGCTCGAATTCCTCGGAGCGGATATGATGGCAGGGAGGGCTCGTTTGGCGTAACGTTTTCTTTGCCAACTACGTCAGAATCCTCGTAGATTTCGTCGGATATGTCACCTTGAAATTCAAATCCGTCCAAGTCGCCTCCACCAAATTTACTGATATTTCTTCTCTGGGGGATGGGCGCAGATGGCGCACTTTCATCCCCAGGGTGATGGTCAGTAATATCGGACGTTGCGGACCTTTGGGATGGGCTGCCCGATGTCTCTTCAAATTGACTAATACGCCTGAGCAAGGTTTGGTTGGTAAATGTGTCGTACGGGCCAAATAATTTCAGGGGGCTGGTTGCTGGTGGCCGAGTCTCTTGGGGCACAACAAGCTGCTTCTTGTCAGGGCTGGGGAAGGGTGCTCGAGGCATAGAAGGACTTTGCGTGACCTGAAACGTAGGGTATGGGTTCGTTCCCAGAGTCCGCACCGATGGGAACTCTTTAGGAGTACTAGCTTGTAAAGACTCTTCCGGGAGCATTTGTGATGTGTCGGCAGCGAGTTCTGAACTTAAACCCCTGTTATAAAACGAGCCGTCGCCGGACCTCCCTCCGCGTTGCACATTGATGAAGCCTCCGTTCTGGATATAATCATCGGTTGTTTCTAATTTGGCTGTAGACCTGGGACTCGCATCAACACCAGCCTGATGGTCTGCCTGAGAATCAAGCAGCAATTGATTCACTCGTAGTCGCTCGAGCTTTTGCCAGAGCTGATCGACAGGAACCTCAATCGGGGCAAAATTCACATTCCCGTTTGTGCTGCTGTGTTTGCCGATCAAAATCGGTCTGAAATCTTCATTTCGAGTATCGCTCTGAACACTGGGCTTTCTTGATGCGGCTTCTTTTTCAGGAGGGGCAGTCAGACAGCTCTCGTCGTGGGATATCTCGTGTTCAGTTTGACGCTCCGGCGTGTGGTCGCCTCGAGGCTGGCTCGATTGACGAGAGTCAGGAATTGGCGAACTTTCGTTCAATTTATACTTGATTTCTTTTTGCAGGCGCCTGGGGCTTGGGCTCGGCGTAACGTCCTCGGGGTATTCTTCGTCCTCGTCAAAATCTGGAAATTCGTCAAGGTCCTCGTCAGTGACAGGTTGGGGGCATGTTGGTGGGCTTGACGGCATCGTCATATCGACATGTTGAGATGTGTCACCACCGATTCTCGACCCCTCTTCGCCTTCTTGTGGAGGCTTGAACATATCTTGAAGACCAACTGCAGCTGAGCAAAAGAGGTCTCGTTGTTCGCCATATGCAACGTCACCGTATACCAGGCGCCTCTTCCATTCCGGAGTCTCGCTGTTTTTATCCGGGGATTCTTTACTTGACAGTCTGTTGTGAACAACAGATCCATTTGTCTCATTTGATATGGGTCGCGATACGTCTGCGCTGACTTCTTGCGACAGTTTCGAAGGCTCCCTCTTGATAGAGATGTTGATGTCGTTGGCGCTGCGTTCGCTCAGAGCGTGGGGACTGTTGCCGTCTATTGAAGGCAACGAAGACCTGTTGCCGGCTCTGCGCGGTATGCGACTAGCGAACTGTTTTACTTGTGGCGTCTCGATTTCGTCTGGCGGTGGCAGCGGTGGGAGCTGTCCATCGGATGCATCTGATCCAGGCTGAGAGACCCAGTCCTCCGACAGAGAGTCCAGCCAAGCATGCGCCATGACAAAGCAAGTGATCTGAGGATGGAAAACGGATTGGAGTCAATTCACTGGAGCGCCATGTGGTTGAAAGTCCGTGAATGCTTGCTTGTGGTGGGGTTGTGGATGAAATGGGCTGTTTTGTTGCGAATGCGCCGGTTTAAATGCAGGCGACGAAAACCTAATATAAGCTGAATATACAAGAGGCTTTAGCTTGCTAGAAGGCCAGGTACACTTGTACTAGAGAGCGACCGAGGCAAAGGTATGAATATGCGGCGTCAAATGGCAAAACAAGTTGTTCAAAGGCGAGGCCTTGTGTGGCGCGTTTGCTTGTGGCAGACAAGTCAAGTAAACAGTCAAAGCCCTCTGATTGGCTGGAGATCGTTGCTGTGCCAACTGAGCCCAGAATAGCTGCATCACGTGGGCCAAGATACTCATGTTCGCAGCAAATGTTGCCTTGCAGCTGAATTTTACGAAAAACAGTCTTGTTAAAAATCTTCGGGCCCATCAAGAGCAATATTATCTTTTCAGGATTCATTTTGTCATCTATTCAATGCAAAGTGGCTTCGCCAGTGATTAAAAATGAACAATGACACCCCCGGTCAACGCTCAATTAACGCGATGTCACGTGCATCCGTGAGACGCGTGACGCGTCAATGCTTCCTCAGGAGGCTGGCCAATTCAAGTCATTTTCTGCCTGTCTCAAGCTTCAACAATTATTGAGTGTCCGAGCAGTCAGCCGCTTTGCCGCCAAGAACACCAGTTCCTTCGCACATTGAACACATCAAATGCAGCTTTCACAGACTATCTTGGTTTGTCCATGTCCTCCTGAGTTGGCCTGTGCCGTAGATCGACAAGATGGCAGATGACAGGGGCATGTCGACTGAGCTAAAGGAGGTTTGGGGTGACGACACTGTATATTCAGCATCGTTCTACCAACCAGAAGATGTATTGTATGAAGGTTCAGAAGATGAGGGCTACGAGAACTCAGCTACGAGACGACGCCGTTACGAAGCGGCTGGGCAGCGATTTCTAGACGGTGCTGTTCCTGCGCTCATCTCCGCCGCTTTAAGGGGCCCATTTGACAGACGTTCGGGTTTCATCAACCCATGGGTATCCCACCGTCACGAGGGGACAGCCCGCAGCTTGACAGGACCCTCTAAGCCCGTCGAAAAAGCTACGTCGCAAAGCAAGAACTCGGTCCGCAAGCCCAAGCCAGATCCTACGCTGCAGGCCCGTTACGCCGGTTGCCATCTACCTAGTCCCGAGAGCCTTAAGCAGGCTCCATATACCCAAGAGCATCCATATCTAGCAGCAGACAGGCTTGAAAAAGTCAACAAGTGGAGGGAGCAGATTGACCCTTTTCCCGATAACAGGAATGGTTTCTTGGTCTCTGACGACGCAGAAGCTTCAACATCTATCAGAAAAAGAAGTGCGCCTGGGTCCGAATGGTTGAAGAAAGTGTCTACAAAAAGACATCGGTCTGCCACCTCACAAAAACAGCCCCATCGTCAAGAACAAGAAGATGACGAGCCTGACGAACTCATGGCGGATCTGCCGTCGTCTAGTTTTGAGAACGTGGCACCAGTCATGTCGCCATCCAAGCGGAGATCACCAAGAAACGCCATGCGAAGAAACAGTTGCAAGGGACTGGTGGAGTCTGATGATGAACTCAGTCCTAACAAGGCAGCAGCTGCAACTCTTTCATCTCCTGTGTCACTGCGAAATGGCCCAGTCATATGCTCCTCTTCCAAAGGAAATCAGCCGCCGGACTATATTACGTCATCTATTGGAACTCAAACTACCCCATCTCGCCTACGACATGTAAGAGTGTTAGATACGTTGAGTAAGAACAGATCGCCTTCACAGGAAGACCAGACGGGTGACGGACCCAACGTCAAACCACAAGCCGCAAGCGGGCAAGTCATTGAGGCCACGGTTGAAAATATATCCGAAACTGGCTCCGTTACCGAATCCGAGCCCGAAACCATAGCGGATGAAGACGATAATGGCTCAGCAATGCTGGTTGGGGATGACTGTATTGTTGTCAACACAACCTGTGAAGACATAGCTTGTGAAGACGCGACTTCGGAAGCTACGAATAGTCAACCTGAAAACCAGCGCTATGGACCTGAGTTACCTCCAAGCAAGCTCAAGGCCGAAATGGACGGTAACTCGGACCCCATCGCTCAGAGGACCGATTCAGACGTCAAAATGCACGATCTGCCTAGCATGAAATCGGAACCGCAAGGCGTAGCGCAATGCGCTGTTCCAGGCTCGACTCGGAATCCTACTGGACCCGACAACAATGGAAACCCAGATAATGCGCCTATGAAGCAGCTCGATATTCCAGTTGCACAATCAGATGATGACAGGGTCATGAACATGGAATCAGGAGATGAAATCGTGGCCCATGAAGGTGGTGCCGACGTGAAACTAGAGAACAACCTCTCAGACATGGATTCGGAAGATGATTCAGGAAACTCAAGTGCTGCAACCCACAAAACCTTTTCGATGGGTAATATTGTACCAGACCGTTCACAAGACACAAACCACGCTTCTACATCAGACGACATTGCAGTTGATGATGGGAAGACTGTTTCCATAGAAAGCAAATCCTCTACAACTTCCACAATGAGGAAAGATATGCAAAGTGATTCGGAATCCGTCAAACCTGAAACTCCTACAACTCCTCGCCAAGCTGAACGTGTCAAAGAAGACGCATCTGAATTCAGGTTTAAGACCATCTTCAATCGATTTGTTCTTTCTAGCCCAGGGAACAGACTGACACGACTAGCTCTTTCACCTTCGTCATCTCCTTCAGCAACTTCCAGCAAGAAGTTTGCGGTCACGAATGAGTCTGCAGATCAAATCGTGGAGGCAGATGCTCAAGCCAGCCAGACACATAAGAAAGAATTACCTAGCCCGCGTCGTAATGAGCTCATAAGTGACTTTGGCCACTTACATGAGCCGGCTCAGCCACAACAGAAAGTCTCATATAGCCAAAGCGACAGGCAGCTGAAGGACCCAGAGACAGAAGATCAGCGCATCCCCAAGTCCCAGCAGAGCCCTTGGGTCAATACGGATGATGTCATATTGTCCAGGTCACCGTTGGGCATGCTATCACTAAATATCTCCGGAGCGAAACCATCCAGGAACGAGGCCGAGAATATTGCAACCGTATCCCCATCTGATATCCAAAGCCCATGGATACAGAATACATCATCCTATGTCGCGTCATTCGGTCAGCCATCATCAAGTCCGAGCAACGAAAATGTCGAACAAAGCCCGTTCGCCAAACCATCAAGGCCCCGACCAAGGACCCCCGAACCCCAATTTTACCTCAAGTCTTTCTCATCGTTTATGTCCCCGTCGCCGGATCGGAACCGAGGGGAAGGCATGTCAATCTCGGCGTCTCGACAGGTATTCAGAAGTACCCAAGGGTCTCTCCCGTCGTCTCTGAAAAGTCGATGGAGCCAGAAACACCCGGGTCTGCGTGTTTCATGGGCGGCATCGCTTGAAGAGTTCGAAGGAACGCCAGGGCGAGAAGATGCTTGCGCAGCCCGTCATATGCCAAAGAGACAGAACTCGCCGCCACCGGAGACCCTTGGTGGCGATTTCCGGCAAGCCCACGACACAAAGTTCGCAAAGCACTTTGAAGCTGTAGCAAACCGCAGAGACGGACAGTCACAGAATCTCATCCCAACAGAATCCCAGCAACTACAGAGTCCTGGCCCCTTCGCCATGGCTGAAACTTTCATGACAGCTGACACCAATACCGCGGGACCAGTGTGCAAGGATATGAAAAGCGAGGAGCATATTGAATCCCTTGCTTGCAGTCGGGCATCAGAAGAGCCGATGGATGTTGTCGAAGACATGGTTCGGGAAATGGGAGATTTTTGGGACTCCTGGAACATTGATGCGGAGCTGGAACAAGCACGAAAGGGAGTGTCAGGAGGGCAAACATCTCTATCATTGGGACGTGAGGGATAATGGGATATCAGTTATGGACACTGCAGATGAGATTCTTGGTGTTTGGCGGGATTGGCGTTTGTAAAGTCTAGGATTTTCTCTATACCACTATTACATCATGTGAATAATAGCGCATATTTTCAGTAACCGTTTCTTATAACTAACTGTGGCACACGATCACGATCAGACCCCGATATTTAATATCGATGATCGTATTTATTCGTTTATATCTGCTCCCGAGCATATCTGCCTGATTGTATTCCACTCGACCGCCCAGATCTACTTCAAGACCATATTCCCAGCTTCTGAAGCTCTTGCGCACCGTACATTTATGTACACCGTTCCTACTCCCATTGTGTATCTTGCCCAATCGTTGCTGATCCCTCCACTCCTAAATTTTAAATGCCATTTATCGCGCGGTTCGGAAAGGCCGGAGGATTGGGACGCTTGCTCGGCGGCACGGAGCCGATTGTACAGTCTGCGGCGGAATATTTCTGCCCAGCGAGAAGTTATACACTACTATGCTGTAGTATATTATAACATAGAGCGCGATAGCCAGGTACCTGGTCTGATTTAATACATTTTGCCTCCCACCGCAGTGTGCTGCGCTGCTCCCACGGTCAGTCATGGTCCTTGAGCGAGGTTGATGGAAACTTGCATTGTGTAGCACCGGAAAATGGAGTGTAAGCACCGAATCCTTCTCTGGTGAATCTCACCGCTGGGCATATTTTGCCAATGGAAATACGTACGTGATAGACACATGTCGCTGCACATGGCTTGTCTTACCCATGGTCGGGGCAAGGGTTACATGGTTCTTGTGTTGTGTATCTAATCACTGCGTCCGACGTAGAAAATATGTGTACCTTGCGATACCTTTTCCTTCGTTTTGTTCCTTGGGGTGTCACTGCGTAAACTGAAGGTTGGCTTTGGGAAACTTGGGGTAGGACGCTGGGCGTGGTTTCTACTAAAGTGTTACTGATACTATGAGTTTGGGCGTCGGTGGTTTATTGCAACCGTGATGCATGTATTTCATGAGCGAAGCAGTTCAAGGAGAGAATGCGATTCCGTCTATCCCTTTGACAGAGGGCACCTCTCGATGCCGGCCAAAGCTGCACTTAGCTCCAGGGTAGTGGTCAATTCTGCGGTTTTCTCGCCGACGTGGATTAGTTTACGAATGCCGAGCGACCCCTCAAAGTGATTTGAGAGGACTTTGGTATGTTCAAAACCAAAAGTGGCACGGCTTAGCGTTTGAATATCGAGGCCATGAACCGACATGTTTGATCATGGCGGATGTGACCGCTTCGAAACAGCTCGTTGGTCAACACAGATTCTTCTAGCCACATTGTCCAGGGCAACGCGTCAAGTATGTACGCCTTCTCAAGCTTCCAGGACGAATTCTGTCCGTATCAGGCGGTCAAAGACACCCTTGCGCAATGGTTTCCAGTACTCGAGCCGCCCCGGATGCCATGCAAAACACGCCGAGGCGTAAACGTCACCAAAACAACACCAGGCACTGACTTTTACAAATTGCATTATAAGCACGGACCGGCGCCAGGGTACAGGTCGAAAATTGTACTCTGTGCTGTAACAATTGTCAGCCAGTGAGTGGCCAAATGGCTGCATCCGGCCCAGAATAAACACTCTGAAAAGTTGGATATCCAATGATGGACGCCAATGCCGCAACGTGGGGTGCAATTGCCTGGAATCGATCGAACCTACAACCACGTGTTACTCTCCATATCGCATTGTGGGCGGAATAATGTGACATAGACAGCACTTTTCCCTTTCCCTTTTGTTTTCACATGGGGGTTTTTGACTCGTCCTCTGTCCATGTTATCCCCACGCCTCGCTCGGTTTGGGTTTGGTCATAGAAGCTTGGATCACTTCCATGACCGATTGACAGCTCGTCGTGCGCCCTCGTGGACTGCTAAAATTGGGTTTCTTCTCCCTTTTTGACAGATTGATCCAAATTCCGGGGAGGTGTTCCGGTGTTTGGGGTAGGGATGGTTAAGTTAGTTGCAGTCTAAGCGGCCCCTTGGAGGAATGGTGCCGATGGCGAGTCGTGAGATTTACTCGGTGAGACAAGAGAGCACAAGGCTCTCCTTTTTTCGGAAGATAGGAAGAGAAATGTCCTGGTGACATGTCGGGGGCCCAATAGCCAACCGGCAGATGCATGTGGTCGCATGACAAGGGGAGTGAGTTGTCAAGATCATGGTGAGGAAGCAAGGTTTCATTGTTCTCGAGCAATCTTTGCAAATATGTACCCGGCACGGAATAACTCTGTCTGAATGGGTTCATGCACCTCCGAAACGACCCTTTCAAAGCAAGATGACGCTCAATCTTAGTAGCTACTGGGAAGCAAGCATATTCTGCCGCCGTCGGTAAGAATGACGGCTCCATCAACGTACCCCCCTGGCTTTGCTGGCCAAGAATAATGCGACACCCGCAAAATCCTCCTCAGTTCCGATTCTCTCTAGTGGCACCATGCTTGAAATTAGGGCGCCCTCTTCCCTTGGGTCTTTTTCGGTTTTCATATATGTATGGCATGTCCTGGGTCATCTCACTAGGGAAGAGCCCTGGAGCAATAGCATTGACTCGGATTTTATACTGCGCCAATGTGGATGACAGCTGCTTGGTTAGCTCAGTAATGGCTGCTTTGCTGGTGCTGTAGGCAAAGCCAGCGAGGGGCATGCGCGAGAAACTAGCAATGGATGAAGTCAGAATAATCTGAGACTTTTCTGCCACGATGGCTCGCTTATTTCCCTCGTCCAACAGGTCAAGAAAGGCAATAGCTGTGTAGAATGCGCCAGTGACGTTCACATGCAAAGTGTTGGTGAAATCCTCCATATCGGGCTTCCATAACTTTTGTTGGAGGCTCTTGATGTCGTCGCTGGCGTCAAAAGGTGCCGGGGCCGCCTTGATCACGCCACTGTTGGCATAGAGCACATTGATATAGCCAGTTTCCTCGCGTACCAGGTTTGTTGCGGCAGTAAGACAGTCTTTGGAAGTGACGTCGCAAACAATGGTGTGAACCACATCCGTATTGGATGCATTCTTCTTGGTTGCGAGCAGGGCCTCTTCCCGTCGACCAAGTATGTACACTGCCTTGGCGCCATTGGCTACCAATGCATGCGTGGTAATGGCACCAAGGCCAGAACCACCGCCAGTGACGACAGCTACAAGGTCTTTGACCCCAAAAAGCGAAGCTGCATTGTAAGGTGATGATGATGTCATTTCTACGAACCCTTTTCGTAGCAGTGTCGAGTTGTCTCTGTCGGCTTCAGTGCGAGTGAAGGATGAACCAAAGAGTTTTTTTAAAAGAAAGAAAACTTTTCCGAAGCGAGTATCTAAGCTAGATTCCTAAAAGGGCATTAATGACACCTTTGCGTCGCTCTTTATTGATACAAATAGCGTACTAAAACAAGATAACGTTAGTAGTTACGGGGCAGATGCCTACCCTAGGTAACTTATATGCCAATGAGGCTGCAGCATGACGGCCTAAGACTGCCAAGTTGGGACAGACTCTAGTTCTCTCCGTGATATCTCCACCGATCAAATGCGGGGAATAAGTGCTCATTCGTCGTGCTGTCATATCGTGAACTTTTGTCGGGGGAAGACAGCGAAGCGACTGGATTGGGCAAATTGGAATGTCGGAACGGAGAGCGAACGGAGAGTGCATACAATCCTCGGCACATGGCAACGGAAATAGCAGCAATATCGAGGCGCAGAGGAGGGAGGTTCTCACAGCGTGAATCCGCTACTTGTTGATCAAGAGACAATATTAATTCGCAAAGGATTTTTGGATTCGACAAGATTTGGGTCAAGTGCGGGCAGAGCGCATTACATAAGTCTCGTTGAGGCAGCGCATGGAAGGAAGGAGCAACCGCGGACAGATGCCAACGCTCAATGTATGGGCTACGATCAGAAATTGCGACGCGTAAATTACTTCGTTCCACACCTTTACGGCCATTTCGACATGTCAGAATATGTTCTTAGACATGAGGCGAGCGATTCGTTCAAGTCCGAGTCACCTTTCCCTCCCTTTAGAACTGAGACTGGACGCAAAAGTGGGTTGGTTGATAGGCAAGAGAAGTCGGTTCCCTGCCACAATGCGCTGTTTTACGAGGCATTTATACTTGATCAGGACACAATAACTACGACCAGCTTGGGTGGCCGAATGACTCCTAGTTGAAAAAAAAAAGGGCCGCCGTATTATTCTCTTTATTGACGCAAATTTCAACAGTGAGGATGATGACTACCGAAATTACTTCATCCAGAGTACCTCAAGGTCACCCCGTGGAGATTTGTACGGCCCTTTTTTTAAGCATGCTGCCAGCTGTGGCCTGACAAGCAAGGGAGTGTGAATGCAAACAAGGACCCGTGGATGTATGAGGGATATTGAAAGGCAGTGGAGCGAGACCTCGGACCTTGGATGCGCAGGCGTTGCAGAATTAACTTAATAAGGTGCGTCAAGCTTGATGCATTGTGGTACCGACGCCAAGGGTAGCTGCCGAGCTCCGACGGATTCTCTTGATCAGCATCAGGAACGATGTTTGTCTTGCAATACCATTCATCGCCTTGCTCTGCCTTGCCTTGCCCTATGCGAGAAAATCTCATCCGGGACGTGGAGTCGTGGACACTTGCGCAAGAAAAATCAGATGCCGCCAAATGAGATTTTGTTCATTCGTCGATCTCATCTATGTGAAGCGCCAGCAACACTGCGTCGGTGCAGCTTCTAGCCAATTGCATCAGACTGACGACCACGACTGGGACAGCAAGCTGCATAAGAAACGAATTTGTCTCTGTGGACAGTTGTCGGTGAGCAAAACCTATGATGCCGTCTTTGGCTTTCGGTGAGTGTGCTCCATTCGGCACCTTGTGAACCCACGTGGAGGCATGGAGACAACTTCTGGAGCCAGAGTAGTTGTATCACGGATGTCGCTTTACGAGCACGGACTCACGGAGTACTCTGTACAGGAGAGCAGATTCTGTGATTGGCTTGACTGGCCGACGATTATGGCGGTGCATGGGATGGGCAATGCGAGGGATGGGCAATGCGAAAAGATAACAACACACCCCTCGAGTCTGGTAAGCTGCAAGCAAATCAGCGAACCGGCATTGCCACAAGTCCGCCAATGCAGCTAATGATAGGCTTGCATGTTCATGGACACAATCTCTGAGACACATCGATGCCAACTCGGGCCCTCCTGCCACACGCGTATTCCCGTGCTCATGGTGTTTGGTACTTGGTTCGTCGCTTCTTTCGCATCTCCGACGTCTATCAAGCCGGGGCGACGTAGGAGGTACGCAATACTCAATAACACCTGGCGAGTTCTTGGGTCCTTGGGTTCTTGGATTCCCTGTGGCTCTGACTTGATAATGATGAAAGCATCAACTGGGTCCAGCCACGGAGTCTTGGAAGCTCAGACGTCAACCCCGACCTTGTTGGTTGCTGGTGCTGCATGAGAACCACTGAAACCCCGCGATCAGCCCTTGTGGCCGCATGTTGCGTTCCCTCTTGCAACTCACTCAAGGCGGTGCTTGGGTGCCACATTGACAGGCAGTTGGCAGAGAAGGAAGTCTGTGTTTGCTAAGAAGAACCAGTTCCAGCGCGAGAGGCTGTCGCTTAGCGAGAGTATATCACTCCGTAGCAGAAGGGGTTTCATACTTGCATACTTGTCCGTGGCTTGTGATGGTACTAGAGTTCTCAAACATACCTAGGTACCTACCTAGGTAGGTAATTAGACAGCCCAACCGACATTCAAAATACATGTGCTGATGGAGTACACGCCCCCATGCGATACGGCGTATTTGGATAGATAAGTTCCATACTTACCTAGGTAGTTGGCTGCGAGACATGTGCTCCTGAGCGGCGCGGCTGTGGTAGTTTCAAGGGTGGTCTTGCGAAAGTCAAATGTTGACATCTGGATGTGGTCCGTTGCGCCATTCAATGTTGCCAGTCCACTGCCTCGCTCCTTCCCTCTCTGCTCTGTCAAGGTTGCCATCCTCTGAAACGGGCGGTACTCACTCAGGCCTGGTACTGGTACTCCCTGGTACTCAGATCTGCCATGGGTATCTGCTACTTGCGGCCGTACCCTGTACTCTGGGCAACGGCCGAGCCAAGCCAAGCCAAGTCAAGCCAAGTCAACCTTCGCAAACACCGTCGGCTCGTGTCTTATTTTTCCTTCCTCCACCCTCGCCGCTCAACATCACACCCTCGACACAAGTCCTGCATTTGCCGCGAATCGATCCTCCCACGCTGCTGCCCTGCCGCGCCCAATGTTTTCCTCATGTCCAGCCCGAGTTCCCAGCCCGAAAATGCCATACCCCCTGCACCCCTAGGTCAAGAGGCTCAACCCGCCGTCGGCGCTGTTCCAGATCCAAGTTTGACTGTGCTGGTGCCAGCGTTGAGCAGTGCAGATGAGGTGTCCGGCCAGACCCCGGTCTTTTCCCAAGTCATCCAGTCTTCCTCCCGGACACCGCCCATCCGTGCCAGGGATGCAGACCAAGCCTCATTCAAGGACGATATAAAGTCTCGCCGCCCCAGCCAGCATGGTCCAAGGCAGCCTGGCACTTCACTCTTGACACAAGCCCTGGCATCTGCTCGTGGTATCCCTCAAGGTCAGAAGCAGAGCAGCAATAACAACACTCCAAGTCATAATACCCCCTCCACTCACGACAACAGCGACAGTAGCAGTGCTAGCGGCGGCGGCAGTGGCCCGTCATCTAGATCCCAGTTAAACGTTCATCTCCCTCCCCCCGATCGCGAAACGGAGTCTACCACCTCGCATACCCACACCGCAGGTCGCCCAACGCCTACGAAGCATGGAGAGCACCAAGCCTCCGTAGGTCGCCATCCTTCCCTGTCCTCTTCAGCCATGGCCACACCGGTCATGGTTCCGGTAGCCTCTGTTGCGATACCAACCCGAGACTCTACCTCTATTCCACGCCAGTTCAACCCTTCCAATCTGTCCCAAGCCAGAGAGATGCTCATGGAGCACCGAGATTTCCTCGATAGAGCTAGGGGCCGTGCCTCTACCTCTCTCGACCTCGACCGCTCGACGACCGATATACTCAAATCTCGAGCCTTCTCCCTTTCTGCGAGTCCTGAAGAGGCCGCCAGGCCGTCTTACCTGTCCAATGACCCACTCCAATTGCCTCCCACCAAAACACTCAATAACTCAGCTTTGAGTGTCGGTTCCCGGTTGTCGCACCGGTCATCTCTGGAAAGTAAAGTGACGGTCAGCCCTGAGAAGACTGGAAAGATCTGGTCTATTGGTTCAGGAGGCGGTGACGAGGAGGATGGCTTGGTTGAAAAGTCAGTTGCCGAGGCTATGGCTGGAGTCGAACCCAACGCCCGAAGCCGCAAAGCGAGTTACAGCCTACGATTTTTTAAAGAAGGCCTTCCACCTGAGGACAAGCCGAGACGGAGGGACACCAAGACAACACCTCGCGATAAATTATCGCCAACTTGGGAGGAAGGCGTGCAGGATGACTCAACAACAGTCCCGGTGACCCCGCCTGGCCATCGCAACGAAGAGCTATCTACAGCCCAGAGTATGCGTGGTGGTACCGATTGGTTTACCGGCGACTACTTCAACTTAGAGTCCACCGATGCCGCCGCCCAAGTTGACAAGACTACCGAGGCACTCCGTTCGAGATCGCGGCCAGAGGGTCATGAGGCACCACCTAAGCCGATATCGCCACCTAAGGAAGTGGGGCCGACTCCGGCTTCACAACCCGACGTTGTAGAGGGGCAACGGAGGTCAGCTGTTGACGAACAGAAGGGTGAACGCCCGTCTAGCAGCGGTATTGTCGGTCCCAGCTCCCAAGCCCGCGATAGACATGATGGTACTGGCCACGACGCCAATGTCGATGCCGATGCCGATGCTGAAGATGCTGATGAGTCTGGCGAGGAGAAAATCTCGTCCGCCATCTTCCTGCCCCACCAGGAGATACCAGATAACCGAAGCGCTGCACCAGAATTGTCTGAATCAACCCAAGTACAACGACCAAGATCCATTTCACACAGTAGCGCTCATCCGTGGCTCGTGAAGGCTGATGAACCTGAACCTGAACCTGAACTGCATGGCAAGGGGGAGACAATTGCCGCTACCGACAATTTCCGATCCGAACATCGTGACAACCATGTTTCGCCCGGCCTTGCGTTTCCGGAAAAGTCCACCGAGGCTGCCAGTGTAGTTGAACCTATTTTGAAGAGCCAGAAGGCTCCAAAGCCCCAACCCACTGTGACACATTACGATGATCATGTCCATCACCACCAACACCACCCTCGCCAACCACTTGAAGCCATTGAGCTAATCCCTTACAAGCATCAAGTGGGTGGTCATACAACGATTTGGCGCTTTTCCCGCAGAGCAGTATGTAAGCAGCTCAACAATAGGGAAAATGAATTTTACGAAACAATTGAGCGGTATCATCGTGATCTGCTTCCATTTCTTCCTCGGTAAGTGTAAAGTAAGGTTGCAGGAGTGTTTTACTGCGCACATGGGCAAGTTGTTGAGGCACGGCTAAATGTCTTGGTTCTCGAAAGCTGCCCGGCTCTAGTCCTGACGATGCATCTGTTAACAAGCACTGCTCAGATATATAGGTGTTTTGAATGTGACTTTTCAAAAGCAACCACGACGGAAAAGCACGGTCAGGAAAGATGAAACATACTTGTCCGGACGCAAGAAAGCTCTAGACGATAATAATGACACAGAAAAAGTGCTGAATGGGACTGATCATCTGGCTACCGACGTGCCCGGAAACGAATCGACTGATGCAGCGCCCACGAGGATTATCAGCCAGTCGCTGGCAAATACCGCTTTGCAGATTCCTACAGTCACATTCGATGACAACAAGCATATTTTGCCAAGAAATCTGCTGCAGCCGACCCCGCCACCAGAGTTTTTTCGACGTCGCAGTACCTCGTCTACGAAGATATATCAGAGTGTATCCAAGCCTCAGACGCCGCGGCCTCATATGGAGGAGCGGCCTAACAGCTGGGGAGCAACGACAATAAACAAACGCCTTCGGAACGAGGTCTTCAACGACGCGTTTTTGAAACAGCCAGTTGAAGTCCAAAAACACCGCCGCCCACACCAGCGTGCAGTACCCCGACCTACGATGCAGCGGCTTCTCAGACCCACAACTTCTGACCCAAATCTTGGTGCGTCTGACAAGCAAATTGAGCTCGAACAAAGGCCTCCCATCAAGGTTCAGCCACCTTCGCCGCATATTCGTCACAATGGACATGCCCAGAGCGAACTTGGTGCCGAAACTGCATCTCCTCCTGGACAACCAGAAGATGTGGCTGCTCCTACCAAGGACCTTACTGGAACTAGTGCCCCAGAACCCGAGATTTTAAAAGCAACCCTCGCCACAGGTAGGAGAAGACGAAGGTACTCAGCAGGCGGGCTTAGACGGCGACCGGAAGATGTTCGGGAGTCCCGGGGCGATCTCAAGTACTTCGAGGAAGCTGATGACGCAGAGTATAAAACCGACAACGAACGGCTAGCTGCCGGAATATCTACAAAAGACACCGAGGCCAACGCCACTGGCCATCAAGCCGTGTACGACGACGCACCAGTCCACGGTCCGGCCCTCATTTCACCGCTAGATTTGACTCACTCTGCAGTGCCGTCTTCTGTACCGTCTGCTCTTCCAAGTCCTACAGTTGAATTCAAGAAAATTCCCCGACCTATCAACCCGAAAGAAGCCAAAACTCGTGGAGATCGTGTAGAATATTTTCTCTTGATGGAAGATTTGACTGCTGGCATGAGGCGACCGTGTATGATGGACCTCAAAATGGGCACGCGCCAATATGGCGTAGATGCAACTCCGAAAAAGCAAAAGTCGCAACAGGAGAAGTGCCGCGCAACTACCTCTGCTGAGCTGGGTGTGCGTATTTGTGGCCTTCAGGTCTGGAATGCCAAGACGCAGTCGTATGAATTCCAAGACAAGTACTTTGGCAGGAAGTTGAAGGCCGGGCCAGAGTTTCAAAATGCCCTGCAGAAATTCCTCTACAATGGGGTCGACTTGGATAGCGTCCTCCGCCACATCCCCGTTATTTTGAAGAAGCTTGCTCAACTCGAGCAAATCATTCATGGCCTCAGGGGCTACCGATTTTATGCTGCCAGCCTGCTTATGTTTTATGACGGCGACACATCTGAGGAGGGAGGCTACGAAACAATGTACGACTCAACAACGGATGTCGCGACAGATACCGAAGAAATCACTCGTCGGGGACGGAGGAATCCCCGAGAAATCGACTTCAAGATGGCCGACTTTGCCAACAGCCTAACGCCCCTGGATGATATACGGGACAAGGCCTGTCCCCCGCAGCATCCAGATGAGCCAGATTCGGGCTTCTTGAAGGGGCTGAGGAGCCTCCGACAGTACTTTATGCAAATTCAAGCGGATGTTCGGGCAGAACTGGACTTGGGGCCTCGCAATGGTCGTGGAAAAAGTCAATGGCTGTCTGGTCCGATGGACGATTTGCAGCTCGATTTTGAAGACGATTTGGACTCTGGTTCACTTAGTCTTTGATGTGCACAAGTTCTTACCTGTTTCTTTTCTCACTGTCACGAGATGTTGTATTGTTCAGATACCCCACTCTTTCTTGTTCTGACAGCTGGACTTGCCATGTTGTCATGTTTTTGTTGACATTCCGGCTGCAGCGTTATTTGTCTTTTGCGGAACTCGGTTTTCTTTAACTCTTCATTTTTTTCTGGTTCCCTTCTCTTTAATCATGTCCCCTGTTTCAGAATGTATAAATCGGAACATGGCCGACCTGCGCTTGCGACACGCTTATTTATACCACGTTACATACCCTGCATCGAGTTTGGCGTACCACTTTGTTGGCATGGCTCGGCCATGTTGATACGAGTCTCGTTTTATAAGTTTGGCTTTTTATCGTGTGCGAGTGCGCGTTTGGAACGATAGGTCAGGAACAGACGGTGTTTTGGTTGGCTGCTTGTGTGGCGTTTGAGTTCAGGGAGGTTACAGGGATCGAGAATGCCAAAACAATCATGTATTGAATGTTCATAGTTGGTGGTTGTCTGATGTGGAACTGAATGACCTCTCCTATTTATTATTGCAAGCATGCTATCCGGGGGAGGGAAAAAATGGGACGGGCACGGGATATCAAATCAGGCGTGGCATGACATGACATGGCAATAGAGTATGTTAGAGAAAACTATCACTAGACTTCTATATATGACCGCCCGCAGTTCCGCGGATGAAAGGATACGGCTAAGTGCGCAGCTCCTGCAGAGTCAAGGAGCGGTTGCTGCTGATGCCATGCTCACTCAGCTGTGTTTTCGGCCTTTTCAAGAGTTCGGTTCACTCTGTTCATTGCTGATACGTAGTTGAACGGATCCCACATGCGTCGTCGTTCATGGCTTTTATTCATAGAGTGGCACGGTGCACTTTCGGGTATGCATGTTGGGGATGTCCTTTTCCTGTTCAAAAATGGTCAGCGATGTTCAGTAGTAGTTTGGACGAGCCTGGTATGTATGTAAACTGATAGCACCACCAGATTCCCACGTCATCTCCCCTCCTTTATTTCAACAAGCTCTTGCACTCTTATACCATCGCGATCTACCAGCGACAGCGGCAGTCATTGACATCATATTATACAACACCATGTCTGGCACCTCAGCCGAGCGACGGCATGTATGATGGCGACACCGTGGTAGGCAGCGAGGGCTCGGTCGATGGCGACGAGATCGGCAGTGAAGACGACTCAGTCAAACGCAGGGCCTCGGATCCCAGCCTCCCCAGCAGCAACCCAACGAAATCGTACTGGCAAGACAGCCCGCCTTTTCCACACCTCGACACCAGTCCCGACGATACACCTGCTCGTGCCGACGTCGTCATCATTGGCAGCGGCATGACAGCCGCGGGAGTGGCTCTGTCCTTCCTCCCACTCATGGCCTCAAAGGGCAAAGCTCCTGTCGTTTTCGTCGCCGAAGCAAGAAAGATATGCAGCGGGGCGACGGCTCGAAATGCCGGGCATATCAACATTGCGCCGTACCGAGTAATGCCCTTGCACAAAGGGCTGCAGGAGCCAAGAAGATTTTGGATTTCCAGGTGGAAAATGCAAAAGCACTGAAGGAGCTAGGGTCGGTGTACCCGCTTGCTGAGGTGAGAGAGTTCGAAACGGTGCATCTCCACCATGATCGTGAAGAATTCGAAAAGGACAAGGCGTCCCTGGAGGATCTGAGGCAAAAGTATCCGCAGTATGAAGTGGAGGTTTTGGGGGGGAATGAGGTGAAGGTGAGTTACAGGTACATTCCTGCCTGCTTGGACTGTTTTGGAGTGCTGACCTTGCAGACTTATGCAAATTCACCTGCGTGGGGTGCTATATCCCACAGGGCAGGATCATTTCGGCCGGTTCACTTCGTCACGAGTATATGGGATGATTTGCGCGGCCAATGTCCCAACCTCCGCATCAGCATCAACAACCCCGTCGAAGATATCACAATTACTACGTCTTCGTCTCACCCCTACAGCGTCACATTTTCCCGGGGGACTCTTCAAGCTCGACACGTCGTCCACGCTACGGACAGCCACGCGACGCACCTCCTGCCCGGTCTGGAACCAGGCCTAACGGGTAATTTGATGCACATGCTTGCTCAAATACCAGGCGCTGGTTTCCCAAAATGCGAGGGGACGCGCTCTTGGACTCTCCGTTTTGGCGATAATTATTACAACGTGATCCAACGGCCTGATATGCCTTATGAGGATGGCAAATGCGGCGATTGCTGATGATTTGGAAGCGTAGGGTTTCATCACGCTGCGTGGGATGACGGGGTGTATGACGGAGATACGGTGAATTGTCTCAAGGAGTGTATGAAGAGCGTGTTTGGACCGCAATTGGTGGAGCCGACGGCGATGACGAAGATCTGGTCGGGCACTACAGGGGTGACGGGTGATTTTCTGCCCTTTGTGGGAAGGATTCCTCCCCAGTTTACCGGTAGGGAGAATCCCAGTGGTCAGGCTGCTGTTTCCGAGGATAGTAGCTTGGTTACACCTGGGGAATTGGATTTCCGCTGGTTATCAGGACAGGGTGTGACATTTGCGTTGCTCTCTGGCCAGGCCTTGGAAATACAGATTGCTGGTATGGAGGACAAGGGGTGAATGGAATACCCGGCGGGAAGTTGGATGACTGGTTTCCAAGGAAGGAGTTGAGTTTGGACGACAAGTTGGTGAGGGCGGATGTGAGGAACTTGCTCAAAGTGGAGGAATGGCTGTTCTGAAAGCAGTCCTGAGGCCGACAGTGAAGTGAAGTGAAGCTGAATGGAAAGTGAAATGTAATTCAATTTTGACGGAGATGCTGCATGGTCTCCACTTTGGTTGTTTTCCCTTTTGTATAAGCACAGATGGATAAATAAATCTCACTCCAAATCTTGACGGCAACCACAAGGCTCATGTGATGTAAAAGCACGGCGCATTGTGAAATTCCAATCAGGTAATCGACATGAGTGCCGCCGATGCAGCGTGGATTGATTCCTGGCGGCACTCAGTCCCAAGCCGTCTTGAGCGAGAAGATCCCTTTGAAAATGACGGCTTCGAGGCAAGATGCTCAACCAGACTGGTGCGTTTCCCACCTGCCGCGTTTCTATTCCATCCATGGCTTATAAGAAACGCAGACATTCCGAGAGCCAGGTCCGCCGCCTAGGTCAGCAAATCGCGGCTTCCTCCGGTCCATGACGCCTTTTCGACGGTCGACCGTCCAAGAAGCCACAGACGATCGACCTCAGGCAGGACATGAAGTGCTTGAACAAGACTCACTACAGAAATGCGACACAAGGACGCCCACACGTTGCGATAACAAGGGCAAACGAAGCATTCTGGCCCTCTTCTCAAGGAAACGGAAACAGACGAGTCCCAGTCCGGCGCGTGGTCTAGCGATGGGTGTTTCGCTGCGACTGAAGGTTCTGTGTGTTGGCGACAGACGGTGTGGACAGACGGCGCTTCTTTAGTACGTTTTTCTTCTTTCCTCTCATGGTTTGCTGGAGAGGGAGCTGATCTGAAAACTCGAGTAGTCGTGCGAAATTTGGGAGGTTTGTAGACGTACGTTTGATATGGTTTGACCCCAAGATGGTCCAAGATGTCCAACAAGATGCCGATGGGATGTGGAAAAGGAGGATAGCTAACACGTATAGACGGCGGTGATTTCCCGAACGCCGTACGAGACATATATCCTGGACAAACAGTACGATTGCCCGGCCACCATGGAACTATAGGATACTTCTGGCACGGGGGACCTAGAGACTGTTTCGAGGCTCTCGTACATGTCATGGGGTGCGATCCTTCTGTGCTTCGACGTCAAGGAGAAGATGGGCATGATCAGGGTGCTCCACTGGGTATTTGTCCCTTGCTGCAAAGACGCGAATCGTATTGACCTAGGCAGTGGCAAGAGGCTGTGAAGAATGGGTTCTGTAGAGATTCACAGCCCATCGTGTATCTCGTCGGCACAAAGAAGGATCTGCGCATGGAGTGTTCCTTTGAGGATCATAGATTGGCAGCAGAGGGGGTGGGGATGGCGTTTGGGGCGAGCTGCTGCGTGAGTCGGCGCGAGGTGAGATTATGCGTTCGCATGATGTTGATGAATGCTGATGATGATAGGCGAATTGGCATGCTGGACGAATCGGGGCTGATGCGTACATTGAGTGTTCGGCGATGACGGGAGAGGGTGTTGAAGCCTTGTTTGGGACAGTTGGGAGGGCGGCGATGGGGGTTGGTGATGGCTGTGATGGGGGGAGGGTGACGAGGCGCAGGTTAGATTGTTGCGTAAGGGAGGCAGGTAGGCAGCTACATTACTAATTTGTTTGTACGACATGAGAAATGAGAACAATGAAGCCGAAATCAAAACATGAAAATAAGCATAAAAATAGCCTTGTCTACTTGAGCAAATTTATCGACCCAAATCCATGGTTGCTTTAAAGCATGGCATTCAAATTGCCGCTGTTTTGAAAACTGCAACGTACCTACCCTGTACAGAAAAGGCCCCTTGCTGGCTGGCTGCACCAACGGGCTACTGGACAACTTGGCCACAAATTTAAACCTCCTCGTTGTTTTGTTATGAATATGAGGTAGTGTGTGGTGTTAGCGGGCGCGTCACGTATGCTGGCTGGTAGCCTATATATGGCAATACTCCGTGGGACAGCAATTAAGAAGCCCCAATACCAAACACAGCGGTGGATTCTCCCGACCCTCATCCTCCCTCTCATGGACCTACCATTCACATCATGGTCGTAACAACCACAAAGCTTGTCTCCCTCCTCGCGGGCTTCATCAGCCTTGCCGTCTACGTAACTGTAAGCCCACGTCCTTGCACGAAAACACCTTCCAAAACCCCGTCAACGTCGGACACTAACCCCATCGACACAGACACGTCACATCCAGCTGTCTCGAGCCCGCCGGTCCAGGACCTGGCCCAAACCACCACCCTTTCAAGCAGAGACCCAACCCCCCCAAAATGAGTACTACCTCTTGGTCCTAGGCTCAGGCGGCCACACCAAAGAGATGCTCATGATGATGGACGACGGCACCCGCGACTTTGGCAACTCGCACCGTCGCTATCTCATTTCCAGCGGGGACAAAATGTCCCTCAGTCACGTAGAGGACTATGAGGCAGAATTGAAGGCGACGTCTGAAATTCCGGGCACCTACGACACCCGCGTCGTGACCCGGGCTCGCAGGGTTCATCAGCCGCTTTGGTCTACGCTGTTTTCTGCCCTGCGAAGTATCCTCGACATCTTCCCCGTATTGCTGTCCCCGCCAAAGAACGAGGTTGGAAAGCAGCTCAAGTACCCGGGGATTGTCTTTTCGAATGGTCCGGCGACGGGCTTCTTTGTAGCGCTGGCGGTGCATTTATTGAAACTCTTTTGGGTAGTGCCGGATGACTGCTTGCGCTTCGTGTATGTGGAGAGCTGGGCGAGGATCACGACGCTGAGCCTGACCGGCAGATTGTTGTATTACACCGGCTTGGCGGATGCCTTCTACGTGCAGCACGGGGAGGTTGCGGAGCGCTATGGCCTTGTCAACGCCGGGGAGATGGTGTTTAATTCACGGAGGAGGCAAAATCGGCCTGGCTTAGATCGCCAGTCGTAATGCGTACAGGATTCGGGTGAAGTGATTCGCAACATAGACGCGGCATGCTGAGACGGAAGGAAAAAGAGTTCTAGTCTTATTAGACAGATGTTGTACATGGTAATACAGTGCCGCTTATCCCCATACTCTTACGGCTGGGCTAATTATACAGACGCAGCCTCAGCCAGCTCCTCTTCACTCTCTTCGACTTCAAACGTCTCGATTTCCGAATTCGATCTTGCTGCCCTGTTCGCCGTTTCTTTGCCCGCCCAAATCTTCCAGTTTTCGAACTCCTGGTCCTCGAGTTGCATGCCCACGTCCAGCCGGGACTTGCCAAAGTACGCCCCCACGTGCTTGGCCTCCTCGACGGCTACCCTCTTCTCAATCTCCTCTTCCTGACGGAGTCTGTAGAATTCTTTGCGCGCCGTGTCGTAGGCTTTGCGTTTGCTCATCTTTTCGGCATGCATTAGATATAGCTGGCGTTGGACGACGCTATATGCGAGTTAGCTCGCCAACCACTTGATTCGCCTTTTTATTTTTTGGCACGTTTTGCCTTACCATTCGCCAGTCAGGGGGACACCGGGCTGTCGCAACCCCTTACTCCAGTCGCAATGCTGGTGGTCTTTTCCGTCTAGTTCGAGGATGATTCGTGGCCGGGCTAGCTCCCACGGGTGGTCTTTGTAGAAACTCGTTCGGAGAGCGTCCTCGGGGTAGCTGATACTTTGGGGGCGGTACAACTTCTTGGGCTTCTTGGCTTTGGGGTTCGGCATGCGATGTCTGGGCGTGACTGTGCGGACCAGTGTCTCGGCGGGGGGAACCGAGTTCATGACCTGGTACCATGGTGGTTGGGCGACGGTGTGGCCCGCGAGCATCTGGTGGTTCAGCTCTTGGGAGACGGATTGGAAGACCCGCGCGGGTCGTATCTGTCGGCCGCCCATAATGCTGTCCTGGAGGGAAGGGGTGTGCGTTAGAGATTGAAAAGCATCGGTACTTGGGTCGCAGATAGCACGTACAATGGTCTCTGGGATCAATTGACGATGTTGTATGAGATGGCACGGCTGGGCCGTTGATGGCGTAGTCGCATACCCATGCGCGGGTGGAAATTTTGGGAGGTCGGCGAATTGTATGGCCGATACGGACCATCAGCTATAACTACAACAGGACGCTGTGGCGGATTGGCGCAGCGGAGATGACCATTAGCTATAGTGGGACTGGCAAGCTGCCAAAAATTAATTCAATGAGAGCAGAGTCCCACCTCCAACTCAAGATCCGTCCTTCCATCGCCCTTCATCCTGCGTCAAAATTTGCCGTCAACTCATGACTGACTGCTCGTACATGCATGTATTGCTGGGCATGTCATCATGAGGACCAACCCATGAAAATATCCGGTCGAGTGGACGGCTCTGTCCGTGGTGCGGTCCTCAACCGCCCGTCGGCGGGCTTCAGAAATGCCTATACGTCAAGGGGAACCATTTGCAGACCAATCGACCTTGCTGTGGAGAGCACGAGATTAAAACCAACGTCCTGTATGAGGAGTTCCCTATGGATTTTGTCTACCTTTATGCCAGAGAGCCGTCGACCGCCTGTTATGCAGCCTCGGATTGCCTGTCGCTGCTACAGCACCGCGCCGGAGGCAGTGACAGCTACAGCAAAGAGTTTACCCTTCTCGCGTCTGCTTTCAAAGGACCAAGAGAAACGACACTTGATGTCTTTTTTCGGAGAGATAGGAGGAGGCAGTGTGCAGGAACATTTCGACTTCCACAGGGACCCTTATCGCAGGGGATATGCTCAGCCGGACGGCCCGAATCTACAAGTCTCCGAGAAGAAGCACGATGTGCAATATCCATCGAGGGAGGAGACATTTAGGATAAGCGACGAATTGCAAGCGCACATATCAAAGTTATGCGCTGCCATCGGGCAACGACTGCGTCACCCGAACCGAATTACGCTCGAAACAATTTACAAACTATACTCCCAGCTGCCAGAGCCTCGCATGCTATATCTCACCTGGCAATGGCGAAGCAGGCTTCTGAAAGTAATGGGAACGCCCCCCAAGCGAGACATGGAGTCCATGCTGCGGTATTTCGCTTTGGTCGCTGATGTCAAGAATGCTGGTCTCACACTGCGACGTACGCAGTGGAACTTTGCCCTTGCTTTTGCAACCAAGTACGCATCACGCCCTACAGCGCAAGAGATGGAATCGGCACTCCGATTATGGAGAGAAATGGAAAAAGAGGCCAATGTCATGGGCAACGACGTGACGTTTAATGTTCTCTTCGACGTGGCTGCCAAGGCGGGCAACTTTACGCTTGCCGACATGATTTACAAAGAAATGGAGAGCCGGGGGATTGAGTTTAACCGTTTCCACCACGTCAGCCTTATTCATTACTTTGGACTACGACTGGACTCGGGCGGCATTCGAGCTGCCTACAAGGAAATGGTTGACTCGGGAGAAATGATTGACACCATTGTCTTGAATTGCGTCATATCCGGGCTTTTGCGCTGTGGAGAGGAGGCAGCAGCCGAGGACACCTACGAACAAATGAAGAAATCGCACAATTTGGCATCAAACATGCCGCAGAGAGATTACATGATGAACAAAGTTGTCACCAGAGTCTTGATGATGTATGCAAAAGTTGGGAAACAGCATCCTCAGCTTAAGGAGTCTCTTCAGACCAATATTCCACTTGCGCCTGACCTGCACACGTACAAACTCCTGATCCAACATTACGCCATTCGAGTCGGAAATCTGGCAAAAGTGGCACAATATCTCGACGAGATGAAGCACCTGAATATTTCTGTGCATCCTACCATTTTCCTCGTCTTGTTTAAAGGATTTTATCTGCACGGTGGCTTTCCCAACTCAGATTGGAGCGAGCAGCGGTTGAACGGCGTTTTAGCGTCGCTGCACCAAGCTAAGGACAGCTACGGCAAAGCGTTCCGCATTGAACAGTGGCTTGTCATTTGGGCTTTGAGAGCTACGAAAAAATGCTCCTCGAATGAAGCAGTCCTCGAAACCTTTGATGCCTTGGCTCCACGTTGGGATATTGCAGGCGAGCGGCAGCAATTTCTTCATGCCATGGTGGAAAACATTTTGCAAGATAAGAATATGAAGTCAATGCCGATATAGGGCAGAAAGATTTGAGTCGGGAGGGAATATTGGCTTGTATATGATATACTGGCTTTTGCCACTGTACATGCAGTAAACTTGGTGCATAGAGTAAAAATACCCCTTGGATCATACTTGTAAGATAGGAAAAGAATTAACCGTTTTACCGAACAATTGACCCGACATGTGGCCGCGGTCCTTCACATATGGTTCCATGGATTCGCTCGTATCGGCTCGAAATTCAAGTTGAAGACCATATCGGGATGAACAAATGGAAATTTTTTGTTTACAGTGGTATCGACTGCTCCGACGTCTATCGTAGAATTGTCACAACAGTTGCCCCATCACCCTCTTTATTTCCTCAATAACCGATCATGAGATCCTGTCCCCGAATCGCAAGCTTACTGCTCCTTGTAGGTCTGGTAGACTGTATTTTCTCGTTAGTATCGACCGCAGGAACCATGTTTCCGAGTCGGCGAAATGACGCACCAGCAATGCCGAAGGGGGCAAGAAAACCAGTGGCCATGAAGGCCCAGTAACCAGCGCCGAACCACTTGCTGCGAGGGTTGAAGGGAATGTTGGTGTAGGGACCCTCGGGGTAGTGGTAAGGGGAGGACATGCGAGCCCGGGTGGCATGGAAGCCTCGGCGGGAGACCAGCGAAGTGGTCGTACGAGCGGCGGCACGGGAGAGCATCTGCGGACGAGAACATGGTCAATTAGCTGTGGGCGGTGTGGAGGCGCCGAATTGAGGGGCAAGGCGAACCTTGGAGACGATTATCGCGATGCGAAGCGGATGGATTGGAGCTTTGGTGAGATCGACGTCGTGACAGGTCCGAGGTAATGGTGGTGGTCTGAGGTCAAAAGCAAACGGTTCGGCGGCAGCTCCTGGTCATGTGATCTCAGTAGGTTCTTTCGCTCAGAAGGAGCCGGCTATACTTCGGCGTAGAATGTGGAACTTGACTCTGCATGCATCATCGAAGCCCGTAGTGTCTCTCACCGCCTACGTTTCCATAGCCCAGGAATTTTTCTTTTCTGCCAGCTAAACTGCCCAGCCCACATGGTTCAAACGGCCGAAGATTTCCAGTTCGATCGCCGATTTGTCGGACGCACTGCCTTTTCTGATTTCGTATTTTCATTGCATATACGAATTTGCGCACCTCGGCGGTCAATTATTACCTTGGAGCGCTGTAATTGTTTGCATTATATCTTGGGATCTATGTCCTAATTTTGACTGTCATTTGCAAGGGCTGCCATTGCGCAATACTAAACCCGTTCATAGATGCGAGATAAGACCACCGCCCGCCATGGATGAAATGTTCGATGTTTTTGAGGGCCAGGCCGGGCCTCAGAGCGCTAGCGATTCCGAAAGAGAGCCTCAAAAGGCTCGAGCCCGCGACAAGAGCAAGAAGCGCAAGGCGGATGAGGCCATGAATGGCACTGCGGCTGTGGAAATCCCAAAGGAAGGTGATGACGGTGATATGGGCGACGCCACCGAGATATCAAAGGCTGAGGAGTCCGAGGAGGAGGATTCAGATACCCCCAGTCAACAAGACAAAAAGAGACGAAAGAAGGAGGATGGTACCGGGCCTGTTATGACGGATACCTTCCAAACAGCCGAGTCAAGAGAAGTCGCTGGTGCGGCAACGCTGGTACCACAAGATTCGTCCTTGGTTTTGTCGCATAACATTCAGCATCAAGTCGCTCTGCCACCCGACCTGGACTACGAATACGTCCCCTTGTCGGAGCACAAGTCGCCTGACGAGCCTGCGAGAACATGGAATTTCAAGCTAGACCCTTTCCAAAGCTTGTCGGTGGCGTCAATTGAACGGGATGAAAGTGTGCTTGTTTCGGCTCACACTTCTGCTGGCAAAACAGTTGTTGCTGAATACGCCGTAGCGCAGTGTTTGAAGCGCAACCAGCGAGTCATCTACACCAGTCCCATCAAGGCGCTCAGCAACCAAAAATATAGAGATTTCGAGGCAATCTTTGGAGACGTCGGTCTGATGACTGGTGATGTTACGATTAACTCCACGGCAAGTTGCTTGGTCATGACTACTGAAATTCTGCGATCTATGTTGTACCGTGGCTCAGAGATTATGCGAGAAGTCGCCTGGGTTATTTTCGACGAGATCCACTACATGCGAGATAAGACTCGAGGTGTTGTGTGGGAGGAGACCATCATCATGCTTCCCGACAAGGTCCGATACGTCTTCTTGTCTGCCACGATCCCCAACGCCTTTCAGTTCGCCGAGTGGATTGCCAAGATTCATCACCAGGCTTGCCACGTCGTTTACACAGACTTCCGGCCCACGCCTCTGCAGAACTACTTCTTCCCCTCTGGCGGCAAGGGCGCGCGAATTGTGGTGGATGAGAAGGGCAACTTTAATGAGCAAAACTTCAATCTCGTCATGAAAGAGGTTGAGGATAAGAAGGGTGCCGACTCCAACGACATCAACGCGAAGCAAAGGGGCAAGGGCAAGAACAAGAAGATCAACAAGGGCGGTGTTGACGAAGGCTCCGATATACACAAGATTATTCGCATGACCATCAAGAAGAAGTTCAACCCTGTCATTGTGTTCAACTTTAGCAAGGCAGAGTGCGAGAATATGGCTTTGAGAATTTCCAACTTGTCGTTTAATGACGATTCTGAAAAGGCCATGGTGAAGAAGGTTTTCCACAGCGCTATTGAGAGTTTGACGGAGCAAGATCGAGAACTGCCTCAAATTCAGCACTTGCTCCCTCTCCTGGAGCGAGGCGTTGGTGTGCATCACTCGGGTCTGCTGCCAATTCTAAAGGAAACCATTGAGATTTTGTTTCAAGAGTCCCTTATCAAGGTTCTCTTTGCTACCGAGACCTTCTCCATCGGTTTAAACATGCCTGCCAAGACGGTCGTCTTTACCCAAGTCACCAAATGGGATGGTGTCAAGAGACGGCCTCTCACGTCGTCCGAGTACATTCAGATGGCGGGTCGTGCTGGACGTCGTGGTCTCGATGCTCGCGGTATTGTCATCATGATGATTGACGACAAGCTTGAACCCGATACCGCCAAGGATATTGTGACGGGCCACCAGGACAAGCTTAATTCCGCATTTTACCTAGGATACAACATGATTCTTAACCTGCTGCGAATTGAGGCGATTTCACCCGAATTCATGCTGGAGAGGTGCTTCCACCAGTTCCAGAATGCCGCCAGCGTCCCCTCATTGGAGAAGGAACTGATGTCGCTGCAACAAGAGCGAGACGGACTTTCAATACCCGACGAGGCGACAATCAAGGACTACTACCAGATTCGACAGCAACTCAACACGTATACCAAAGACATGCGGGCCGTCATCCAGCACCCCAACCACTGTCTAGACTTTCTTCAGCCAGGACGTCTGGTGCAGATATACAATCCCAAGGAAGCTCATGATAACGTAACAGGCGGCCTCGATTTTGGATGGGGCGTCATCGTCAATCACTATCCTCGACGGGCCCCCAGGCTCGGCGAACCCGAGTGGGAACCGCAGGAATCGCACATCATTGATGTTATGCTGCCCATCTCGGCATCAAGTGCCGATATTACTCCTGGCCAGCCGACTGGAGACATGCCGCCTGGACTTAGACCTGCTGGCGCAGACACTGCAGACACTGCTACCATTAATGTGGTAATACCCTGCCTACTTACGTGCATAAAGGCCATCAGTCAGATCCGCATCTTCATGCCCAAGGATGGCCTGAAGGCCGATGCGGACAAAGACCAAGCACGCAAGTCATTGGCGGAGGTTAAGCGCCGGTTCACCGACGGCATCCCTATCCTGGATCCCCTGGAGAACATGGAGATTGTCGACGACTCGTTCAAGAAACTCCTACGCAAGATTGAAGTGCTCGAGTCTCGACTTCTCGCCAACCCCTTGCACATGTCGCCCATGCTCCCGTCCCTCTGGGACCAGTACAGCAAAAAAGTCCAGCTCATAGAGAAGGTCAAGGAGAAGAAGAAGGCCATTTCAAAAGCTCACAGTATCGCGCAGATGGACGAACTCAAATCGCGCAAGCGTGTTCTCCGCAGACTAGGTTTCATCAACGACTCGGAAGTGGTGCAGCTCAAAGCCCGGGTTGCGTGCGAAATCTCGTCCACCGAGGGCCACGAGCTGCTTCTCTCAGAACTCTTGTTCGACCGCTTCTTCAACGAATTGTCTCCCGAGACGTGCGCGGCCGTCCTCAGCTGCTTCATCTTTGACGAAAAGGTGGAGGCGCAAGCTCTCAAGGAGGACTTGCAGAAGCCGTACCGCGAGATCCAAGCCAAGGCGCGCATCATTGCCAAGGTCAGCCAGGAGTGTAAGCTCGATGTCAACGAGGAGGAATACGTGACGAGTCTCAAGTGGCAGTTGATGGAGACGGTCTACACCTGGGCGCAGGGCAGGCCGTTTATCGAGATCTGGTATGTTTTTTCTTTTTCGACCCTTGTCTTGTTTTTATAATACTAAGCTAATATCGGTGTAGTAAAATGACAAACATTTACGAAGGCTCGCTGATTCGTCTCTTCCGAAGGCTGGAAGAGTTGTTGCGTCAGATGGGGCAGGCGGCCAAGGTCATGGGCAATGAAGATCTCGTCAAGAAGTTTGAGGAGAGCTTGCAGAAGATTAGGAGGGACATTGTGGCTGCGCAGAGCTTGTACCTTTAACTTTCTCGGCCTTGTTTGTTGTAGGCGTGGGCATTGGACTGGAGTTTTGGAGTGTCTAAAAAAATGGCATTTGGCTCGACTAGGTGTAGTAATTGGAATACACTGCGCATTCTTGCCGTGTGACGTGCTTGTCAAGTGAAGCTGTGGAAGAGTTTTTAGCTTTGCTTTCTAATGAAAGTCTAGAATGCTGCGCTCCAAAATTAGTGTGACTGATTGGGCCTAGAGGACCCGAAGATTATTAGTAGCTTAAATTTTGATGACGGGACGTCGCTTTCAAATCATGGCGAGGCTGCCATTTGTTGTTGAGGGCTGACACATTCAGTCTCACAATAACGTCGTCGAGCAGCCTAGGGCCCTCGGAGGGAAAGTTATAAGGCTATGGGAAATTTGATAGATGTATTCTGGGGTGGTTTTGCTGCACAACCTGCGGCAGCTGAGTAGCACTTACTGGCCAGACATGGCAGGGAGTCTGCGGTTCGACACTGCGCTATTCATTTAGAAACCAATCAAGTTTATTAATATGTATTCTAATAACGCGCTTAACTTCCAGTATACGCTTCAACAACACCGCCGGATGAGGCTCATTCACCGGCAAGAGGCCTTTCACTGCTCGCAAGGCCAGGTCTACGAATCCCTGACCATGATTTCGAAAGTTCTACAGCGCATGACTGATGAGTGAAGCAGATATTTGCTCCAGCTTTGCGGTTTGCATCGAAATTCCCTGGGAGGGGGCGATTAGGAATCCGGCCCTGGATCTTAGTCCACCCGGAGGGTACCAGTTCGGTTCATTAGTGTGGTGTACTATACTGGCGATGCAGAAAGATTGGGTAGATCCGCCGCAGAGCTATCTTTGCCGGCTTCCTTGGCCGAAAAGTCGAGCCGTATCGGCTCAAACATGGGCAACTTCTGCCAGATTAGTGCGTAATCGAGCTGGGTAAGGCGACGCAAGTTTCTGGCAGGCAGACTGGTTTGGCTGGTTTGGATGTTTGAACAAGGCAACTTTTTTACAACTCGACCATGTGTGCAGAACAGGACGTAGTTGTCGGACAGTTGGCCGCGTTTTGCTGCATCATCACACCGTGGCGCAACAAACAGACTGTGGAGGTGTATTATGAAACAAATAGCACAATGCACATGCCGCGCAGAAACTGCATGCAGGCCCCAGACTGCGTGGAAAGCCTAGTGTTGACGTTGCTGCAAAGCTCAATTTCAGTACCCGTTCGGGTCCTTGCCCTAGTCAATATGTTCCCCCCCTCAAAAAGACCCAAAACTCCATGCTACCTCTCCCCCGATATACCCATGACAATGCCAACCGTGACGCTCAAAACGACGCCAGAGCCCACAAAGATCTGCCACTTCTCGCTCCAGAGGCCCTGTCTCAACAACCACGTGATGCTCCCCAGCGGGAAGAAGAAGCCAATCATCATGCCGCGGATGAGCACGTCCAGCACGGTGGACATGTTGCTCAGCTCGTCCTCCAGCGGACTAGCCGCGCTGGGTAGCTCGCCCGCATTGTTATCTATCCACGCGTCCTCGAGCCGCCTCATGCTGTCCGGCGAGGGCATAGAATCAGGCGTGAACCTCTCCGTCTGTATGGACGCAAACTGGGTGCGGAGGGTGGAGATCTCGGATGACGTGAAGCCGGCCTGCAGCAGGCGATCGAACCCTCTTGGCCGGGGCCGCGTGCGCCCAGCCGGATTGGTGGGCGGTTCCGGGCCTGCCTCCTGCGGCGGGTTTGCGGCGGAGGCTTCCTCGGCGGCGAGTTCCTGCGCGGAGAGTTCATCGCCGATGGAGCAGTTGACGTATATCCTGACGGGGGCGCCGTCGACGGCTTTGCCCTTGCCCTTGCTGCTGGCGCTGGATGATGGCGGCGGGGGAGGAGGCGGCTTGAGGACGGAGCTGAGCGCCGAGGAGTCTGGAAGGATGCGGCCCTGGTAGATTAGGCGGAGGCGGTTGCGGGTGGTGAGACGGGTGCGGAGGAGGTGCTTGAGGGAGAGGACGGTGGTGGTTTGCGGGGATGGGATGTCGAGGTCCAGGTCGGGGATGGAGGCTGAGAAGCGGATGGTGAGGAGGAGCGGGCGGATGCGCGCGGGGGTTGTCATGGCGGCATTTCGTGGTTTGGGGGTGTGGCGCGAGGGTTGAGCGTCGCGTTGAATCTGCTCGGGTGGTGATGACGAGGTTGAAGTCGGAGGTGAGAGAGCGAGTTGAGTGAGATGGGGGTGACGTCGAGAGGAGCATGTGATTGGCCCATGTGCACGGGAGCCAAGGTGTTGGACCCACTGGCATAACGGCGCAGATTTGGACGCATAAATTTCCGGGTCTGGAGTTGTAGAATGAACGAATGAAACAAATGTTAAATCAGCTCCACGCTTTATTCTTTGGAAGCTCAAGGGAGCGCATGGTCCATGCATGAACTCGGCGCCGTGTTTGCTTAACCCTTGGACAGACCTTTTTCGGTTGCCCAGTCTGGTGGTCTGGTGCCAACACGTGGATTATCGACATCTTTAGAAACAAAACTGGAACAAGGGGGCGTTGCTTTTTACAGGTACTCCGTACTGTACGATCCGATTTGGTTCGCTAGTAGAACCCGAAACCAAGACATATTGTGCGGCAAGAGAGCCGAGAAGACCACGTTTGCCCTTCCATGTCAGTGCGCAATCCGATCCAAGACATGATCGGTACTTTTTTGGTCCCCGTTGTTCTAGACTTCCGCCTCTGCAACCTAGTTGGTGCGGTCGGACGTTGCGTTGACTGGTAATCAAAGCTGGCTCAAACCTTGACCCCTATTGTGTACTCGTTCATCTCCCTCCGTACTTCTGACAAATGTAGCAAATTGCCCTGGTGGGCGTGTTTCCCAAGATGCCCCTCGCTTGATATCTTTTCCTTTGCAAATAAATCTACAATGCTCCTCAAACAAGTCGTCTCTCCGCGGAGGGCGAGGCCGGTCCTCCGAAAAGCGTACCGAAGCGTGCCCCTCGCATCCGCCATCACCATCTTGGTCCTCCTTGCGCATTATTTCCAAACCCCCCTTCACGAATTCATCGATTACGCACGCCAGACACACCCGTGGTCGGGACAGCGCCAGATCGAGCAGCCCTTCACCCCGACCGAGAAGGAGTTGGCCTGTCTCCATGGCTCGGCAGCCTCCTCAAACACCTCCAACCCGGACAATATCCCCAACGTCGTGCACTTCATGTACATGTTCAAAGAGCCGCTCGCCCAAGCCCACGGCATTCAATTCGACTTTGTAAACTACCTCGCTGTGCGCAGCGCCATGATATCCCTCCGCCCCGACGAAATCCACCTCCACTACGCAATTCTTTCGCCGTCCGGCAACTCGGCCAACGCAAAGCTGCACCCCGTCACAAACCCGTGGATCAGACGTCTCCGGGCCGACATCCGCCTCGTGGAACATAAAGTCGAGAACCCACACGGCGAGCAGATCCACCGCATAGAAGACCTGATGCGCCTGCAGATTCTGCGCGACAACGGCGGCATATTTCTCGACGCCGACTCCTTCGCCCTCAGGCCGTTTGCGAGCCTTCTTCGCCCCGCGGGCTCTCATGACGCGGTGCTAGGGTACGAGGGCGGCAACCGATGGGGCATGCGCAACGCCGTCATGGTCGCCCGCAGAAACAGCACCTTTATAAACGACTGGTTGCACGAGTACATACACGGCCCGGTGCGTCGCCAAAGCAACTCCAAGGGCGTCGTGCTGCCCAAGGAGCTGGCGGCCAGGAAGCCCGGTGCGCTGTGTGCCTTGTCGCCGGGTGCCTTCTTCTGGCCGACCTGGACATGGAGGCACGTCGAGTGGATGCACGAGGAGCTCAGCGAGGGGGACACGGAGTATTGGGAGCGGGAGATTGAGAGGAACGGAGGCGCGCTGTTCCACGGCCAGTTAGCCTACCATGCCTGGAGTCAGGCGGCGCGGGAGAGACACCTGTCGAGATTGAACCCGGAGGTGGTGAGGAGGAAGAACACGCGGTTTAATTTGTTGGTGAGGAGGTTTATGGAGCAGGACTTATAGCGAGCACTGTGCTTTTTGTCTTTTTAGCGTGTTAATGAACCTTGTTATTTATTTGGTAACCATATTTGTGGATGGCGCGCGGTTCTTGACGAATGTGTATTAGAGATTAATTGGTTATTTAGTGTCATTGTATGCGGATTCATCATTGGTTGTCGTTAAACTTGTTATTGCCACGACGACACCATAGAGTCTTTGGTTGGGATGGTGTATTCAGTCGCAGCTAGTAATAGGCAAGTGCTCTGGCGTTCCGAGTTGGCCAGACGAGGCTTACGGGCTTACTTAAAGGGTCCAATTGGCGTGGCGGCTTTAAGCTAGGTGCCGGATTATAGGAGGCCCAAGCAGCAAGCAGGCGTAGGAGGAAGAGAGCCGCGTTTGTTGGTGATGTTGGTAGATAGATTAAATAGACGCCGCTTGCTGCAACCGCGTCAACGCCCCACAAGCGCGATGGAAGTCGGCGGCAGGAGCGACAACTACCACCGGTCCACAACATTCTTCTCACCGCCTTGGGCAAAATCCTAGAATTGGCGCTCCCAGCTTGATCTACACCGAGACCTTGGCCTCGACACACTCCCAACTACTCTTGGCTCCTGCGCGCACATTGTTCTCGTACTGTCCAGCGAGGACATGCCACTATGGCGCGCTTCGGGCGTGCAAAGTACCTGACCTGCTTCTACTGTGGGAAGCGACCAGGCATCAAGTTTGACGGCACATTTCGCGACTTTCTGTGCTTGCATTGCGATGCAACCAATTATCTAGACGAGGTATGCGCTGTGTCCCAATGATGGCATTGTATAGCTGGCGAAGCCTGGCCCCTTTCTTGTGTCGTATATGCTGCTGACCTTGACAGAATGGCGAAATCACAGACCCCCCTGTCGCAACCGAGCACGAAGCAGCAGCCGTCCAATACGCCGCACAGCAATCTCCCTCGCCTTCTGAAACGGACGGCATCTTCTGCCAAACATGCCTCAAGAACCAGCACTTATTCACAAAGTCACTGGCCCAATACCTCCCTGACGACCCTACAGACCCTGACTACCCTGAGCTTGAGCGCAACTACTACCGCTACCGACGGAACCTCGAGAAACGATACCCGCAAGTATGTAGCGATTGCGCCGAACGTGTCGAGGGTAGAATACGTCAAGCTGGTTATACCGCCAAGACTGACCATTTACGACGGATGATGAGTTTGAGCCGGGGCCGGAGGACCAGGAGGAGGACGCCGCTTGATTGGGTAAACACGCTGGGGAAGACGTTGTGGCGAACAGGCTTCGTTTTGCAAATGTTGTGGCATTTTGTTATGATGACGCAGTCACTGCAGCAAAGCAACGATGGCATGTATGATCCCGACGATCAGAGTACGTATGCTACGGCCATTTCTTGGCTCAAGCTGGCTATTGGCTTTCTTCCCAGTGCAGCTACCTTGATCCAGTGGAGTATTCGGACTGCTATTCTGGCGGTGTGGTGGAACCCGCATTTCGTGCAGGTGAATCGAGGATTTACCAGGCACCTGCTGGGATTTACCCAGTGGTACTCGTTCCAGGGATTGACCATATTCTTCCGTTTCATCTTCCGCGGCGTGGTTGATGCGAATGCGCAAACCGCAGGCTCTGGGACAGCCAAGCTCAGCGCCCATGTAGCTATGGCGGTGGTCATGACACTGGTGAGTTGCTTGGCCGCGCATAGTTGATGCTCTACTAACAAAGGCAGATTTACGTGTTGGCAGGCAAATCCATTCGCGTAGACACCTCTCCCTTGTTTGCGACAGAAGACAGACCACTAGTATCCAAAGAGGCAAAATCACCTATGCAGAGAAGACGGGATGATTCCAAAACCTTCTCTGAACTTGTCAATGACGCGCTTGATTCCGCAAACGCAACACCCCAAAAGTCAATCATGACCGACCAGGCTCCGTCTCCTCAATCGCAATTCAGCCCTCTGCGGCCCCAGAGCAGCCTGCGGCCAGTCCTTGGCAGCATGAGACCAGCCGAGACCCCCACAAAGCGGACAGAACAACTGCAGTATGATGAAGAAATGGACTGGTCGCCAGTTGCATCACAGCACCGAGCTCTCAACGACAACTCGACGCCTTTGACGAGCAAATTTGGGCGAATGGATGAAGAAGCTCTGTCATCACCAGAAGCAAAGAACCCCTTTTGGTGCAAGGTTCCAGCGGCCCCCGTGAATCCGGCTCAACGACTGCGAAACCCCCATTGGTCACCAGCCCCAAAGCAGCAAGAACCTGCGGGGACCGGCAAAGTCATGTTTACAAGGCGGGGCCATCAGCCGACGTCGTCTCAAACCACCATCGGTAGCGACACGAATGGTGGCGTTGAATTCAAGCAACCCAGGTTCTTTGCCCCGCAGAAAGATCATGATGCCAGCTCTCTGGCAGACTTGCTCAGCCAGAGTTTCACGTTGGGACAGGACCAAGAAGAAGAAAACGCCGAGATGGCGGCAGAAAAACGTGGCTCAACCACATCGGCCGAAACCATGCCCCAAACTAGCGTCAAGCCCGGCCTCGAAACCACCGTTCTGATGGTTTTGTTGTCAGCATGGCTGCTGGCCATGTTTGCACATGTGCCGTATGCATGGGAAGTGCGGCTCACAACCCTCTTTGTGGCTGGCGTCGTAGCTCTCCGCAGGACAGGAGACACGAGCCATAGGATTGAAAAGAGGATACCAGGACCAGCAGCCTACTTATTATCGGCTCTCGGCGCGGCAGAACTGGCGGCCATTTGCTGGGTTGGATCCAAGGTGTGGAGTGGGCAATCAGATCAAATCGGGCCATATGGCGTGGGAGTGCTGGTCAGCATGCTTGGCCACCAGGTGCTGAGAGTGGTATTGTAAGGCTGCTTGCACGGCGTTTATGACGGATTATACAGTGATGGACTGGGCTGGTTATGGGCGGCACTATCGGCATTCAGCATACTTGAATATGGCATTAGACGGCGTTTTTTTCTTAGCGTAGCAACAGCATGAATGGGGCGTTTTTTTCATGAGGCCAATGGTGATATTTCATGCTCACTCTGAGCGGCCAACATCTCAGCTTTTCCACCCGATTCCATTGTGAGCGGA